GTTTTTTTTTTTTTTTTTTTTTTTTTTTTTTTTTTTTTTTAAGGATGCGTCTGCCCCAGAGAGTCAAGTGCTTTGTAACTAAGTCTGTTGGACTGATACTGACAAGAATATTGCAGGAAAGGTTGTGAGGGGCTAAGTAATTGAATGTGTCGTCCCAGTTTAATTACAGAAGAGGTTTCTGAATACTCTGGCTGAACAGGGGATATTCTCCAGAGAAAACTACCATAGTTCTACCAGAGAGAGTTTGTCACTTTTAAAGAGTAAGTTAATAGATGTGGCTGTATAGAAGTGTATGTCAAAATTACTTTTTTTAATTATTTTTTTTAAAGTAGTATCAGGAGTTCATGCAGAGCTTCTGACATTAACAGTACATGTCAATTCATTGTCATGGATATTTTCATATTAAAATTCACTGTTTTCAGTCCTTAAGCTTCTCTGTTGCTTTGTGTAATGTGTAAGAATCTAAATAAACAAGAATGTTTAAGAAGCAAAAGTTTGACATGTGCTTCTCAACAGACTTTAACTTGCTCAGCAGGGATCTGGTGATTTTTGAGAGCAATCGTGTCTGTAAATGGGACTTGTGGCTGGTTTAACTCCTGCTGATCAGGTGATTTAGTCAACATGTCTGTGGTCTGGGTAGCTGTGTTTTGCCGTGCTCTCCTCCAAGCATGAAAGCAGGGAAAAACTGATCTAAGAAATACATTGAGGTGTCATAGCAAGGGTTCAACAGCATATATTTCCTATTTATATTATGTACTACCTAATTTCCTTAACTAATTACCCACTAAAAAGAAATTCTTTTTAGAGAAGGTGGTTGAAAATTGACTAAATGGTCTTTTAAAATCAGACTTTTTTGTGTACATGGCTTCTTTTGCCTACCTGTTTTAAGAGAACTGGCCAACATGAGTGTTGGTGCTAGTCTTTGTTCAAGTGTGCTGCTTCAGTATCAGGCCTGGGGAAGGCTCTGCTGCTTCTGCTTTCCTCTCTACAAATTTTACATTTCTTTTTAAAGATAGGGCCTAAAGAAAACCTTTAATTTTTATTGAAGTAACATTTTGAATGGTTGATTCAGACTAGTAGATATAGCCATTCAAAGCAGATGCGTTGATCCACATGACATGAACATTATACAACTGAATAATCATTTTGCTTTATTTGAATTTGTGTCTTATTGTGGTGAGGTAACATTTTCCACAATTGCTCCTCTGCTTTGTTCAATTTTAAGGGGATGCTCCTCTTACGTTACTAAAACTTGTTTAATAAGTCTTCTGAGCTGTTAAAGGCTTGTCTTTATAGCTTAGTGTTTTCCTCACAAGTGTTCAGCTTGTGCACCCCAGTCATCCCGCCTGGTCTCGCCAAGACTAGGTATCTAGCAAGGACCAGACTTGTCTGAGCCGTGCTCTAAATTATCCTAACCCAAGTTACAGGTCAGCCTCAAGCAAAACGATCAGTATTTCTGAATAAACCGTAATACATAATAAATAGGATGATGTTTTGAGATGGTATATATCTTCACCAGGAACAAACATGCAGTGATTTTTGGTTTGTTTTAGTGTTCCCCGTTAAATTCTCCTCCAGCCAAAGGAGATTTGGGGTAGATACATTATTAAAGAGTTTATTGGGACGCAGAGAAGAGGGCCAGCCTCTACAAAAGATGCCAACTGGTTATTTATGATGTTAATTGTAAGGCGTTATTTGATCTGTCCAAAATGTTTGTATCAGCAAGGAGATCCTTTGATCCGTTAAAGATCCTTAGAGCTGTGGTATGTTTGTTCTGTTGCTTAATCTCCAAAGAGAATGGAAAGATGACAGCTGTACATTTGTGCTGTGAGCCTGGGAGAGCTGGGGGCTGCTTTATAGTGCCATTTCTCAGATAATGTGGGGCACACCGTACGTCACTGAAATACTTTGTTCTTCACTCTTCCAATTTTACAATAGGACTTACAATACACGCTTTGTTCAACCAAAGTGTGGCAACACTGATTAAAGTATACTTCAGAATCTTTTGATGGAGGAAAGTGTTAGACCTGGGCCATTGTATTGCACTGAATGCATTAGAAATGGACATGTGCTGTCCTTTTATGGCTAGATGAAAGATAGTAACTAAGTATTGCACAAGTTAATTCATTATAATAAACCAGATTCCCTTTTATCATTTTTACCTGGAGTAATTTATAGTTGTAAGGACTGTAGTAATTCAGTAGGTGATAATAAAGCCTGGAAATCCTACTTCTTTTATTTAGGAATGTTCTTTTCTTCTGTCAGACATGTAACTCTATTCCAATATCTGCTCATAGCTGCAATTGGAGAGAGTAGAATATGGCTTCTGAAGCAATCGTGTTTCGTGGCGTCTGAGTCATTCTCTGCCCATGAGATAAGAAATTTTTGCCTTTACACTCTTTAAAAAGAGGGACAAATAGAGATAAATAAAGAACATAAAGGCATAAATTATTGTTTTAGAGGCTGTATCAGCCTTCCAGGTCACAGTACTCAAGAACTTTATAAAAGCAGTCAAGCATCATTCCTGCCTCTGTCTCCCCCCTGTTTAGAAAAGCATGAAGGGGTAAATGAGGGTCCAAGCCTGCTAGTTCCACTGCTGATTCATCTTCTGAGTTGCAGACACACACGTGAGATGTAAAATGCCTGACACGAGCGATCAAACACCTCTAGCTGGGATTATTTATGCCACGTAAACTTAGCTTAGCTAATTGGAAGCTGTGACAAGATTTGGGTGGAGGAGGGGGGTTGGGTTTGGGGGCAATGGGTGAGAACTGTGTATGGCTGTCTCCCCATTCCTTTTTGTATTACAAAGGTGTGAATTTGTGTACTATGAACTATGGATCGAGGCAACTTGAGAGGGAGTGGAAGACAGATGTGAAAATCATGGACAATTAGTGGCTGTACTGGCTGAAGAGAACTGCACGCGTG